CAACTCCAATGACAAGCTAATTGTCAAATTAGTTTGCCATGCCATATAAGCTTTTAAGCTAATTGTCATTTTAGCTCCAATGGCTAGCTAATAGCTTGCTATTTAAATGGACCAAACCTCCTTAATTTTTGTTGATAAATTTCAATTTATTTATTCTAATTTGTTTTATTTTAGCAAGCTTTTTTCCAAGCAAATTTGTTTGACCAAGCTAATTGCATTTTCTAGATCCAATAATTAAGCTAGTAGCTAAGGATTATTTAGTATTGCAAGCAAGTCCCTAGCTACAATTATCGGAGTTACTATTGCTCACACGGTCACGCTTGGGTGTAACTTTAGCTTCTTTACTATAATTAGAAATTCCGAGTATGAAATAACTTCTTTTTTTTTTGAAGGGTGACTCCTTAGTCCTTAGCTCTTTACTAGTCGGATTTGACATTTGAGTAAGTTATAATTTCACCTCATAATAAACTTCCATCATCTATTAGAATTTGCACCAAACTATCAAAGTAAGTTATTTATAGAATTAGTGGCGTATTACTCATTGTGCCCATAAAAAATACTCACTCAGTCACTCGCATTAAGAAATTTATACAATTAGAAAACGCATTGTTACCAACTAAATTTACCAACCCCATAAATCAGTCAATGTAAAATTTTGTCACACCGCTAGGGTTTACTTTACGTACTCGATTAGGACTAAGTTGAGTAACCCTTGACCAAGTAATTTAAGTAACCTTGTCCTTTGCCACACAGCGCGGCAAGCCACTTATTAAATTTAATTTCTTATCAGTCAATATAAAATTAAATTTACAATTAAATCAGTCAATATAAAAAAAAAAAAAATACCCGTTGACATTAGCATCAAACGACGCCGTATCCTCCAAAATCCCCTGTCTTTCTCTCCAAGAAACACCTAGACTCATGATCATCACCGCCACCATAGCACCGCCATTGTAAATTCCTACCAAAAACACAAAACATAAACATAATTATTATTTTTCTCTAATCAAAATTATTCTTATAAACAAAAATGGTAACTTTTAGTTGCGACACCGTGAATTTACCGCAAGCAAACACCATAATCTCAACCGCGGCATCCCTCGCCGCCACGGCCGTGCTCATAGGTACACTCGCAACCGATTTCATCCCCGAACAAGTCCAATCCTTTTTCTCAACCCGCACCAAACGCATATCAAAGTCTCTCTCCTCTCAACTCACCGTTGTAATCGACGAGTTAAATGGGTTAACGCCTAATCATATGTTTGAGGCTTCTAATGGTTACTTGGGGACTAAGGTATCCCCTTCCACTCGTCGCATTAAGGCTAACAAGAATGTCAAGGATAGTCATATTAGTTTGTGTATTGATGTTGCTGAAGAGATTGTTGATTGTTTTGATGGTGTTAAGCTTACTTGGGTTCTTAAGAGTTGTTCTAATGTAACTAATAATGAGGGGAGTTCTAAGAAGAAGAGAGGGAATGGGAGTAGTGGGTTGGAGAAGTTGGAGATGAGAAGTTATGAACTCAGGTTTAATAAGAAGCACAAAGATATGGTGATCACAAGGTAAATCGTGTATTTTACTTGCAATGTTTTGACTTTTGCATTAGGTGCGTTTTTTAGGTTGCAATGCTTTGTTTTTAAGTTCCAATGTTTACAACCAAACTATTTTTGTTCTATGTGCTTACAAGTTGCTAACGCATAGCAAAAAATTACACTTTTCAAAAGTACATGTGAAGCGTAGAAATCAAAACATTGCAACTAAAAACTAAAACCCGAAAAACCCACAAACCTTGTAAAAAAAAAGGTAGTGTCTTGGGGAAAAAATATAATAAAAAAAATATAATAACAAGTTTGTGTGGATTCTTAAATTTTGTACTTTAGGATTCTGTATGATTTTACTAGGGTGTTTTTAAGAATGTGACACTTTACTATTTCTTACAACAATCAAAGAATGGGAATTTGTTTAGAATTAATGGGTATTTTTCGTTTTGCTGAATCTAATAGGTATTTGCGTCATGTTCTTCAAGAAGCGAAGAAAATAAAGCAGTCAAGCAAAGAGATTAAGTTACATACAGTGGATTATAATGGGACTGATTATTGGAGTTGTGTAAATTTGGATCACCCAGCAACATTTGACAAGATTGCGATGGATCCAGATGTGAAGAGGGATTTGATTGAGGACCTTGAGAGGTTTATAAGCAGGAGAGAGTATTATAGGAGAGTTGGGAAAGCATGGAAACGCGGCTACTTGCTGTATGGACCTCCCGGAACAGGGAAGTCGAGTTTGGTTGCTGCCATGGCTAATTACTTGAAGTTTGATGTGTATGATTTGGATTTGAAGGAGGTTATGTGTAATTCTGACTTGAGGAGACTGTTGATTGGAGCTGCAAGCAAGTCGATTCTTGTGATCGAGGATATTGATTGCTCTGTAGAGTTGCAGAACAGGGATGCCTCAGAGGATGGTGCTAAAGCTGTGGATGATGATAAGGTTTGGTTTCTTTTTGTAAATTTTTTACAGGTTCTGTTTTACTAACAGTGCACATCCTAGTTCATATGGCTTTGTGTCCAAGTACGATTTCGTGTTACTATCCGTGGTCTATTTGAAGTGTTTGTGGTTAGTGTCCGTCTATTTAAGTACAGGTCTTAGTGTAACAGAAGTCTGTCTTGTATTCTGTATATTGCCACTGATATCGTAAATTACTCTGATGAGGTGATGATAAATTGTCAATAACCATTGCTAAGCTTCATCTGTGAGCGTCATATACATGAGAATATGAGATGTTGCCCTTATTCAGTCAGATCTTAGAATCATATACAATCTGAAAATTCTTATAGTGTTACACATGTATATGAAGTTTGTCTGAGACTCAGTTGACACTGTTATATTAAGCTTCTCTTCTCTTACAATAGGTGACTTTATCAGCATTGCTCAACTTCATTGACGGGCTATGGTCTACTTGTGGGGATGAACGAATCATAGTATTCACAACAAATCACAAGGACCGTCTTGATCCTGCCCTGCTACGCCCTGGCCGCATGGATGTGCAAATCCACATGTCATACTGTACTTTCAGTGGGTTCAAGCTACTTGCAGCTAACTATTTGGAAATTAATGATCACCCACTTTTTAAAGAGATAGGGGAACTCTTTGACAAAGCTCAGGCTACGCCTGCTGAAGTTGCTGGCGAGCTTATGAAGAGCAATGATCCTGCAGCCGCACTTCAAGGCCTTGCTAGTTTTCTAAAAGACCGAATCTGAGATAATATGAGCAAGCATCGTGGCAAAATGTATGATGCCAAGTGGTAGATTTGAAGAGGTGAGCCAGTAGTTTTTCAATTTTGATAGGGAGTTTATTTCTGCGCTACTCATTAAGTCTTTATAATCATTACTTAGAGAATTGTGGCATTAATTTTGTTCATCAATGGTTATAATTGATGAAAAGTGAATAAAAGGTTTACGGAAAAGTTCATAATTTCTGCAGTTTACCAGCAAAAAGTTTCTTTTGTTCATCATTGCATTCTGTACTAACCCTAAACTAATAGATTATCGAGGCTATCAAGCTTATTAAATTTAAATGATTTTTAAGATCAACGGCATAGCATAATTCAAGAACTTAAATAAGCAAGCAAAATTAAACAATATGCAGGTCAATGGCTCAATCACTCTGTCAGTACTCAGTATGCCTGCTCTAATGGTTCCCTCCGTTCCAAATTCTAACAGGTAAAGCTCCTTATGTGATAGGGTGCATCTACTGAAATTTGAATGATCAAGGGCTAAGCAGGGTTAGAGAACTTAAGAGTTGGAAAACTACAATAAGATAATGAAGGAATTCGTATAAAAACAACTAGCACAAACCAAAGTGCTCAAAATAACTAAGCACGTGGTAAGCTAACATGTACGGTATAACTTAACACAGCAAATTTTGTTTTGATCTAAGATATAGAAAGCTCTTTCGCTCCTCCATTTCCATTTTCGCATGACAACGACTATTTCATGAATGCAAGTATGTTGCTGTCATAAGATGTCGAAACTATAAAGTATTAAAAGGATTATGGAAATTGACAACTAACAAGGGAACAGAACAGAGTGAAGTGGTGTTGAAGAATGTTTTACTTCATGATTCTCAAACAGCTCTAATTTTAAGTCAAGAACACGCATCTCAAAAACAAAAAGTTGCCGACTATTGCTCTGAAGTTATCCAGGCAACTAGATACAGTGATACATATCAACCTTGATTCTGTCAGGACACTATTCTGGCATAAGCGAAATAGTATATAGGCTTGCAGAATCTGAGCTCTGTTAGTATTCATGCTAAAGGTTATGTTCACTCTAAATTCTTACCAGACAACTAATAAATTCTCAGCTATTGATGCATTTCAGACAACGGCCCTTGAAAATTCTGCACACCAAGACTAATACTAGCAGACCTACAAAGGGTCAGAGACTCAGAGCCCCACCCACCACTATTTTCATATTGTAGATACGTAGTATAGAAAATTCTTCAATGAGTATGAATTGCTCATCACTACCATATCCAAAGTTTTCAATGCTTCACAGTTTCAGATGCCTTAGGGCTAATATGATAACCGGCCTGTCCGGCCATCCATGTAATCATCAGACAAGGATTAATCAATCCGTATATCAGAAATGATCCATAGAACAATACACATAATGGCATAGATTATCACCTCCACAGGTGACAATGGTTTTAACTTCCTCACAGGTATTCCACAATGCAAGTCCTCCCCTCACACTCTCTAATACCTTCAAACCTTAACTACAGAGCTACGATACACAGACTCGGGTGCTTGTGTCACTTTCCGGTATATGTCCATTGTCCAAGTATTGATCCTCGGGTAATTATACAGAATGTATACATGTTTAAGGTCTGACATGTTTATGGTCTAATAATATGAACTATGAAGTGTCAATTATCACTTTATCAGTGTTGAAGATTCAACATGGGCATGTATTTGGAGTGAAACAAAAAATTCAGAACCACAAAGTGAGATAATTGATATGCTATTAAGTAATATTTCAACCTTTTAGCATGAAAGAATCCTTTAATTAAGGGGAAAAAATCAACACACCACACCATTCTCATCACCTCAAACATTTGACCAGTTATGAGATCTCAATCTTATACAATTTAATCAAAATTTGTACAATATCAAGTAATAAGATCAACAATATTATAACAAAAAAAGCCTACAAAATCGACCAAATTTACAGAATCAAATCAAATGGAGAAATCCCAAATCCAAACTCGAAAACCCCAGAAAAAATATAATCACATAACACAAAGCCAAACACCAAAAACAATGAAAAGAGTACCAAACAAAGCATACCCAATTCGAGTTTTCTCCCCTAAAAGCATCCCCATAAGAGCAGTAGCAGCAAAAGTTGTCGCATTGGTAACAGGAACAGCAAGAGAAATGGGGGTGTGACCAAGAATGGCGAAGAAAGAAGCAGAAGCAGAGAGATTAAGGAAGAGGGGAACTGAGTACTGCCATGTTAGAATGAGATTGAGGTAGTTTTGAAGAGAGAGAATGATTCGATTGTGAAGTGGGGTTTGATTTGATTGTGAAGATTTGAGTGATTTTTGGTCCCAGATTATTGCGCCTTTTCTCATTAAGGCGTTTGTTGCTCCCCAAATTAGGCCTACTGCTATCATCTTCTCTATGTCGGCGATCGCCATTGTTGGTTGGTTGCTGATTTGATGTGAGCTCCAGAAGAAGGCACTACTGCACTATTATTCGTTACCTTATTACAGACTACAGAGAAATGAAAAGAGTCGAGGTCAAAGTTTAATCGAATCAAGCTATTAAGATCAGATCAAAGTTAGTGGAGAAATTAGATAAGTAGAAATTAGGTGAATTAAACGTAGTTTAAGGGTTGAGATGATCACAAACATAAATGGTCTTCAACCATTCGGAATTGATCTTAGAGTTTCTACATGGCTTGAGTCATTTTTTTGTAAGCTGAGAAGGTTTTACCGGCGTAGAATTTTGAACATTGTCATTGATTTTAATATTTTGTTATGTAATTAATTCTATAGAAATTGAAAAAAAAAAGTGAGAAAAGTATAATAAATTAGTGAGATTATAGAGATGACCCTTAAAAAATGTGTCGACTATATTGAGACAAATGGAGTATAACATTAATGATCATAACTAGGCTTTATTTTTATCTTACTTCGTATGTTTTTGGTGTTTATAAAGCCGCTAGGGAAGGATTCCAAGATCTTCTGAAATCGAAAAGGAAACTTTAGCCACTTAAACTATCTCTTACTTAAATTAGATTAACTAATACCCTTGCATTTGTTCAAAAAAAAAAAAAAATTGCATATTTTTGTTTTTGCAAGTTGTGACCCCAAAACATAAGTATTTAATATATGTAAGGTCATAATTAAAATTACTCCATTTGTGACCCATACATTTGTTAGGCAAAAAGAAAAGTTGTATTTTGATAAAAACAATTTTGAAGATAAGAGTGGTATCTACTCGTAATTAATGATTTCCCATATCAAGTACGAGAAAATCCTTGTTAATTTGTTAAGGGAAACTGGTATCGGCCAAACTTTTTGTTGACATCTATACCCTTACTCAAGCATACGAATTGACAATCCTGTCTCCATAAATTCAACCGTTTATACCTTTAATTACCGATTACCAAAAATTATAAAAAGTTGATATTTTGAAATTATACATCGTGATGAATCTAACCAGACCCCACATGACTATATTTTTTTTATTATTATATATGAATCACAAAACACGGTCAAAGAGAAGTGTGTGAATAGTGCTAGTCAAAACGTGTCAACTAAAAAAAGTGGAGGTAGTATATATTTTCTTTGTACATTATCATGTTTGATCAAAATAAACCAGACCAGATAAGTTCAAATTAGATCATGTAAGCAAAATTTTGTTACCCAAAGAAACCCTAATTTAACAAATTAAAATGTGACTAAAGTGTTTATCTATTTAATCAATATTTAATTTACAAAATATAACGATCAGGTTAAACTTAAAGATCATAATGACTTTACACTATATACAACTATTCCGCTTTAATCCATGTTATTAAGAAAACTCAACTATAATCCACAACTCCACAAGGGCCAAATATAACAATCACATACCTAACACACATCCCACACTTCTAGATGAAAAGTCATGCAACTATTTCCAATCAATAAATCTTTTTAAAAAATTAACAAAATGAAAAATATTTATAAAAAAAAAAAAAAAAAAAAAAAAAACTCCCTCTATCCTTTATTTTTGCTTGATTGTCATTTTTAAGATCAAACTTTGTAAATTTTAACGGTAAATTACCGTTAATCTATAAAAGATTACATAGTTATGAGTGATCTTGTTAAATTGAACTCATTATATAGGCTATTAATACCCTTTTTTTTTATAATTTTTACGTGTATAGAAATGAACATATGTGTGTTCTAATATACGTCTTAAAGATAATAAAAAGTTAAATGGGGCAAAAAAAATAGAGATAAAGGGAGTATTATTATTACGTAGTATTTTTTATTTTATTTTTTAATATTATTTTACACAAAAAGACGCCAAGAGAGTCAACAAGTCAACCACAATTTGCAAAATAAAAAATCGATAATAATAACAACACATTTCTCTCTCATTTGCTTATCCACTTCCAACTCAAATTATAATTTCCATTATTTCTTTCTCCAAAAAATAAAAATAAATTAAATTAAATCGCCGAAAAAACCAACCTCACACACCCTCTCTCTACTTTCTCTCTCCTCTTCCCCAAACAACCCCCGCGTGTGGCTTCAATTTTCTCTCTCCTCACCTCACTTTATCGGCTCCTTTCATCGGAATCCTTTCTCTCTCCTCCTTTTTCCCCCAATTTTTGGATTAAACCCTACCTTAATTCTTCAAGTTCATGCTATTATATCCTCAATTTCGATTAATTTTTCAATCAATTTTGTTGTTGATTGAAGTTTGATTCATCGATTATTTTTATGGATCGGATCATCGGCGGCAAGTACAAGCTTGGTCGTAAGATCGGAAGTGGTTCTTTCGGCGAAATTTTCGTTGGTTAGTTTCAATTATTGTTTAATTTGATCTTTCAATTCTAATTTTTTTGCTTAGGTTTGTTAACTTTTGCTTTAATTTGTTTCTGGTGTTGATTGCTGATTTTTTTTTCCCTTTCAATTGCAGCTACTCATATTGATACCTTCGAAATTGTCGCTGTGAAGCTCGTAAGTTTGATTTCAATTGTTTTACCTAATTTGATATACTTTGTTGAATTGATTAATTTTGAGGTTCATTTTGATTGAGAGTAGTGGTGGAAGTAGCTTGGTAGCTGTTGATTTGATTAGCTAGCATAAAATTTTGCTTTTCAAGTAGTTAAAACCTTGATGATTAGCTCAATTTCAAACTTAGATGAATGGATATATTCATATACTTGTTGAATTTGATAATGTTTTACAGGAGAATACTAAGACGAAGCATCCACAATTACGGTATGAGGCGAAGGTATACGACATTCTTCAAGGAGGAAGTACGTAACGATTTATAATCATGTATAGTGTTATTGCTACCATTATATCCAACTCAAATTTGTGTGTGTTAGGTGTTGTTACTCAGCTATATGTTTAATTTTGTTGTTTTTTCCATTTATATTGTGTCATTTTAGGTGGAATTCCAAGTGTGAAGTGGTCTGGGGTTGATGGAAACGATAATATCCTCATTATTGATTTGTTGGGGCCTAGTTTGGAGGATCTCTTTGTATACTGCGGGAGAAAGTTTTCGTTGAAGACTACCCTAATGTTGGCTGATCAAATGGTACAAACATCTTTGATTTTCCAGCTTTACATGATTATACGAGCTCGTAGGATATAAGAATCATATATGTGTGTATTTACTGGTGTTGTTATTTTGTTTTCCCAGATTACAAGAATAGAATATGTTCATTCGAAAGGCTTTTTACATCGAGATATTAAACCTGATAACTTTCTCATGGGTCTAGGTCGAAAAGCTAATCAGGTAGGTCATATGTTATGCCTTCTTTGTTTATCCTGGTATTATTGTTCCATACATTATCACCCTAAACTAATTGTACTTAACAGGTCTACATTATTGATTTCGGACTTGCTAAAAGATATCGTGAACCAACAACGAATCGTCATATTCCATACAGGTGAGTCCCTCAGGCTGATATGTTTTCTTTCTGTGAACTATGGTTTATGATCCTCTTTAAAAATTCTGCCTGCGTGTAACTCTTGAGCTATCTGCTTCATTTGTTCAGGGAGAACAAGAATCTGACGGGGACTGCACGTTATGCTAGTTGCAATACTCATCTTGGCATTGGTAAGTCTGAAGTCTATGGTTCTGGTTTTTTAATTTTTGGCCTTCGGTTACTGTCTCTTAATTTAGTCTTTCATTGTAGAGCAAAGTCGGCGTGATGATTTAGAGTCGCTTGGATATGTTCTCCTTTATTTTTTGAGAGGAAGGTGAGCTATTTTCCTACATCTTTTAATATTTGTTAATCTCAAGGATTACACTATGTACTGGTCATAATTTGTTATTTATTTATCTCTATTCAGCCTACCCTGGCAAGGTCTTAAAGCTGCAACCAAGAAGCAAAAATATGACAAAATATGTGAGAAGAAGTTGGCTACTCCAATAGAGGTATGTCAGCTCTGTCCACTGTCCCTAACTTCTTTTTATGGTTTGTACGATGACTTGTGACTATATGTAATCCTGTTGTCTTTTTTCCTTCATAGGTCTTATGCAAGTCACATCCTGTTGAATTTGCCTCATACTTGCATTACTGCCACTCATTGACATTTGATCAGCGACCTGATTATGGGTTCTTGAAGCGCTTGTTTCGTGAATTATTTACTCGTGAAGGTACTTTATGGTAGTTGTCTTCGGTCTTAATTATTTGCAGTGCCATGGATCTACTTTTGTTGTGTCCCATTTTATGCTTAAGTTTGAACTGATTTGAGCTTTGATGATGTTCTCTGTATATTCAGGATATTCCTTTGATTACATCTTTGATTGGACCATTATGAAATATCAGCAGGTTCAAAAGAGTAGAAATCAGCCTCAGTTATCAGTGAGTTCATACACTAATTTTTGCTCAATTTAGGTGTAATTTTCATTTATTTGTACCTCTGTGGTGATGTACATTGACATATATTTGCAGCCAGCTGCAGGAGGTAGTAGCAGTTGCGCAATGCCCATGGATGTGGACAATCAAGGTTTGTTTTCATTACTTGTGTGTTCTTATTTCGTCGTTCTTTTAGGAGTAGTTTAGAAGCAGTCGCTAAGTTTGGCTCATTAGCGTCTTTTTCTTTCTTGATGTTTTGCTTCATTTGTTGGTTAGTTGACTGGTACACTAGTTACTGCTGCCTTTTTTATTTGCTTTAATAAAAAAATAATGTCAAAAGTTGTCTTCTGTTTACCTATTGTAAATTTAAAAGGATTAAAGATTCTGAAATATTTATGTTGTGAAAATTTGTGAAACTTAGGCCCTTTAGAGTCTTCATGAGGCAAAACATCATAGCTTTTGTTTTCTTCTAGAATGACGCTTGTGGAAGATCATTTTCTTAACCTCTGCCACTCCACCCTGCTCCCAACCCTTAAATCCAAAATCATACAAAAGAGTAGCAAATTATGTTCCTTAAGTTGTTGCTGTTGGGAAGGCGAGGAAAAGCATGTTTGTTTATTTCTATCATCAGTAGTCTAGGAACTTTTCAAGTTCTGTTTGTATTATCTACGTACTTGATTATATCTCAATGTTATGCTATGGGATTTTGTGATTTCCCTCTTCTTAAGAGGCAATTTCATAATTCACTAGCCAGGCCTATTCTATGCTGCCTAATGAAGCTGAGGCAGGGTAACATTCTTTGTATATTAGCTTTGTTGTTGTATTATTTGGTATTGTGAATAGCTATAAAATGAGTGCTCCTTTGAAGTCTTTGTAGTCATTACATGGGCTGGATTAATGCTGTATGAAATTTCAGGTTAAATAGTGACGATAGTCAAATTGTGGTCATCAACAAAAAATTTATTGTAGATGTTCAGTTTTGTCCAATTTTTTAAAACCCTTTATATTTGAGTGTTTGAAGGAAGATTTACACTTCATTTTTTAATTACTATAATGTTTTCAGGGGGTCAATATGCCACGCATGCTCATGGTATCACTGACCGTGCTAGAGGGGGCAATGGTGCAGCTTCTGATGCCCGCATGCATTCTAGTTTAGCCGTTGAGAAAAACCGGACATCTGAAACCATGGCATACAAAGATGTAAGTCTATTTCAACAATAAAATCTAATGATGTGGCCTGTTTTTATTTTTATTTTTGTAATAAGCTCCAACATTTGCTTCAATCTGAACTTAATCTTTTGTGAATGTTCAGTTGCCATCAACTTCATTTTCTTCACAAGGGGTCTTGAGAAAAGATGCTGCTGATCCTGTTAGGCCCACTGAAGCTACAAACTCGAATCAAGAACATGTTAATAAAACTGGTCCATCAAGCAGATGGATTTCTCCCCTGATGCGAATTTCATCTGCAAAGTGATTGAAGGTGGTAATATTATCTCTGGACTGCTGAATCTGTTATTGTGCAATGTATTTACATATGTTAAAAAGGATTACCTATCCTCCCTCCAGGTGAAGATTATGCTGGATGATCTCTTAATGCAAATCTCTGGGCACCTGTTGCACCTCAGTTTTGCCGCTACCGTTGCTATTTGAGCTTGTACCATGCAAGACATTCTCAGAAGTGTGGCAAATATATTTGGACTTACAGTGTATGATCTAAAAAAGCTTGGTGCGACTGGTGTGCTGATGCCATGAATCGCACACATCACTCTTGTATTTACAATCCTGTGTAATATGACAACTTGTGGCATATTCATCCGTGTGTGTTCCATAAAGGTTGCAGAATCCTCTCTGCCACACGGTTGTCCTCAACAGCGTTCATCTATTTGGTTCATGGTTTTGTGAGTTGCATTTGTACTTTTATGAGAATCAGGTGTATGTGACAGTAGCAACATACATTAGCTTGACTATTATTAATTCTCTTCTGATCTTAATAAAAAAGTTTGGTGGTGTTTATTGTACCTCTTCATTCTTGCTACTCTATAAAGAAGCTGTCAGTTAAAAGGAAGTTTACATAACATCTCATATGCAAGTGCTCTATTGAGACTTTACTTGCAAAATTTTGTTGTCACTGTTTTCCCTTTTCAAAAAACTTTTTCTTATTTACTGGCAAATTGATACTATTGAATCCTGTTTTCATGGGCAATTTTCAAATTAATTTTAATATCTTTGATTTCTTTTATTACATTGTCTAAACTAATGGATTTTGTATCTGTGCTTCTTGCATAATCTTGGCTGGTTATCTTTCAGCATCTTCAATTATATATACTTCTTTTGTTTTCCATATTTCACTGTTAAAATTTTGAACATCAGTTCTACAATGCACTTTCAGAATGTATTCTGTTATCTGACCTCATTCTGCATATCTATTGTCTGGTCTTACTGAGTTCCTTGGTAGTCCCCGGAATCATTTTGCAGTATAAGGTCTTCTTCTTATCTTACTTCTGGCATTATGTATGCTTCCTGTCCCACTTCCTTTTCGCCCTGATTTTTTTTAATCTCTTGATTTTTGTTTCATGTCTGTTTTCAGTGTCATAAATATGCTTTAATCATTCTGTATTTGTATCAATTAAAGAATGCTCTGTATTAAATTTATTGCCTAAAGCTGTTTTTGACCTTTTCTTTCGTGTCTGAAAGTGAAACCATATCCTGTATTGAATCTTTTCTTCTTATGGATCTTCATGTAACCAAATGGGTCCAAATCCCTTAGTTTTACGTGCAATATTCTTTTTTTTTTCTTTTCTGTTTTATGAAAAACTTTGACAAAGGAGCATGCTGCATATTGATGATACTTGCTATTAACTGCTCCCATAGTTATTCGATCCTTTGAGTTCACACTTTATGCTCTGCAGGGATTTTCAGAATAAAGATATGGAAGGTCCTTGGTGTTCCAACTTCCGAGTACATCTCAACATGCCTCGTCTTGTGATTGCACAAGGATGAAGTCTACTGGTCTCTGTATTTGGAAGTTATTTTTGTTACGAAGTACTATTTAGCTCCCGGTCAAATGCTGCTGGCGAACTCTCCAAGATCTTGTGTTGATCATAACTGCTTTGGAACAAGGATATGTAGCACTGTAGTGTAGGGAGGTGTAATTTCTTCTTTTAAACTGCTACATCTGTCGGAGCTGTGGGGCTAAAAATCCAGGTCTGCAAATTCATTGCTCTAGCCACCTGAGCTTTTGCCAGCACTCAGCAGTGTTTATGGAGTTTAAGCGACAAAGCTCTGATTACATATATGAAGAGTTTACTCCTATTTTTTCATAGAATATATAGTTTCATGTTGAAGTGTGTGTCAGAATTTGAGCAGTGCCCATTCATGTATTGCCTGCCGTATGCAAGCCTGCTGGGATATGGTGTGCTTAAACCCTCTCTATCTATCTCTATCCAAGAGATGGATGGGAAACAGAGTTTAGTGAATTCTCCCCGGAACTAGAAGATCACACAGATTTGTTTCTAAAAAACAGATTTTGGGATCGACTACAATTGCAGTTTTAAGCTACTGCATTTTCTTAATATCTTGTTCACCCTATGCTGGGGTACAGCTGTGGCTGACTGATTCTGATGTCCTTCATCTGATTCCAGAAGTCAATTTTGTCATTGGGATTTGTTACTTATAAGGTGCCAGGTATGTTAACATTCATAGGAAGTTTGAATTTTATTGTAATTTCTCTTTTTGTGAGCTAGCCTGCACATGTTACCTTCCTAGTTCCCGGTTTCCTTTTTTAGGGTGGAATTGATTTTCTAAAGGGTGAGCTAAACTTTTGCTTCTGAGAAGCTGAATTGATTTGCTTTGTTAATTGGCAAGGAGCTATATGAGTATATTCTAGCGCTTGGAGTTGGGGGATAAACTAGTTGAATTTTTTCTTGAAGGATTCCTGAGTTTGTTAGCGGCCTGACTGGTCTATCACCGGCTTTGAGTCAACTTCATGAGTCGTGACCAGTCTTCTTTCTTCTGTTAAAATTCTGACCTTGTGACCCTCTTTTCTTTTTTTATTTACCCCCGCCACTTCTTTCATTCCAGGTGACCTTGTAGCAACTGTACCTCCACCCATTAATGCACATATATGTGCAGAAGGTGATATTTGTGACCTTCTAGCGAGCTAAACACAGTACTTAGATTTGCTATGTGTTTAGAAGATTTACCTTCCTTTCAGCACCAAGCGTTCATCGTGGAGAAAGTAGTTACAAGGTTGGAGACTAGAATTTGATGATTTGCATGCGTTTTGCACACATGCTACTTTGAAGTGTTTGGATGATCTGTTTGTGCAATGGCTTATGTTCGTTTCTTTGGGATTATAGACTTTCGTGCATTCAACACACACCTCACAACACACATGGAATGCAGTTATTACAGAAGGGGTTGGCTAAGAAAAAGCCAAAACATGCAGGTTGGTGTCAAATTTTCTAGATTTTAGCCTAAATGCCAGCTAGATTTAGTTGAGTATTTCGAACGGAAATTTCTTCTTGTTGGATGTGGGGCACAAGTTCATAGGGGTGGAGAATAATTACATTATGGCCCTCTCATCTTGTATTTCTCCAAGAGAGTTGAAGCTGTGTTGGTTGAAACTTAAATATGTACAGCGATAATGCAAGCTTTGTCAATGACATGAAGAGAAAAGATAGATGATGCTTAATTTTTCTTGCCTCAACTTGATAACTGGTGCCATACTAATAGATATTGACTTCAAGCTGTTGTATATTTGTTTCAACCATTGCAACCAGGAGAATGTCCTGGTTTATTGTTGGCGTTTCGTTATCTGTATGATTCTTGTTCCTCCTGGATCAGACTTGTGAAACACCCTGGCCAAGTCTTGATTGTGGCCAATACTTGCATGAAGTCTTGTCTATTTCTCTATTTACTCTACTTTTCTTTAAAGTGGGAGCATGTTCCCTTACATAGCTGCAAAACTCTTGTTTTTTGTTTTTATTTTTTGGCGGGTAAGAGGCTCTTAACTTTTACTTCGAGTAGACAAAGTTGTTCCTTGACTGATCATGCTATGTACTCTTATCACTGTCATGTTGAATCTCAATGAATTTAATAATACCTTTGATTTTTTTTAGTTGCAACTTTAGAATATTTTATGTCTCACAAAAAATACCCCAAAGGTGCAATTAAAAAAAATCGGAGGGGTAGTATATTAAGAGTACTTATTAAATAATTATGATAATTGTTGCCAAGTTTTAGGTCATATGATGCACCCAAACCTAGAGCTGTCAAAAGTTGACCCGGCCCGAAATACAGACTCAAGCCCGATTTTTAACTGACCCATTTGAATCCGAAAAAATGGTGACCCAAACCCGACCTGACCCGACTTGAAACCAACCCTAGACCCGAGTTGACCCAAGTATGTGAGACCCGAACCCGAACATGAACTAACCTGGAGATGACCCGACATGAATGTAACCCGTAAATTATTGACCTGAACCAAACCCAACTTGAACCGAAATTGACCCAAACTCGTTTTAACCCGAATTTAAACTGGCTTGTTACTAACCTAACCTGAATTCAACCTGACTTGTTCCTAATCGACCCGAATTTAACCCAATCTGTTACAAACCCGACCCGAAATCAACCTGACTTGTTATTGACCTGACCAAAATTCAACCCGACTTGTTATTGACCCGACCTGGATTTTACCAGACCTATTACTAATCCGACCCAAAAATTCAACCCGATCTGTTACTAACCCGAATCGAAAATAACATGACTTGTTATTGATCCGACCTAAATTCAACCCAAATTGTTCCTGACTCGATTTCAAATCACCTTAAATTCAATTTAGACCACCTTATTATTGTTGATCAAAACATTTTGTCTAGGGAGACCAAGTCGGTCCAGGCCAACAAAAGAAAGGAGCATCATTCTCAAATTTAAGAGTTAAATATAATACTCCCTTCGTTTTTAAATACTTGCTCTATTTCTCCATGTGCGGGGTTTTAGGAGAAATTGAAGAAAGTAATAAAATATGGAGATAGAGGGGTTAGTGGAAGAATAAAAAATTGTAGAAAGCAAAAGTATTGAAGAAAATTGGAGGAAAGAGAATATATGTTGGGCCCACTAGACGAGAGAAATTAATTAATTATTGTAAATGCTTTCCAAATAAGGAAATGGAACAAGTATTAAAAAACGGCCGCAAATAGAAAGTGGAGCAAGTATTTAAAAACGAAGGAGATAATTATCTTCCTAAATTATAGACTACGGTTTCCTAGTATATTGTCTTATATATTATAGTCAAAAGAAATAATTAGCTTGATAAAAATGATAATTATCTATTTATAATTAGTTAAACCCGAACATGACCTGACTTGGAAATGACCCGACCTAATTGTAACCTGCAAATTATTGACTTAAACATAACACGACTTGAATCCGAGAATGACCTGATTTAAAAATGACCCAACCTGATTATAACCCGCAAATTATTGACTTAAACTGAAACCCGACTTGAACCCGAGAATGACCCGACATGATTACATCCCGCAAATTATTGACTTGAACCGAACCCGACTCAAACCCGAGAATGACCCGACCTGATTCTAACCCGCAAATTATTGCCTTGAACCGAGCCCGACTCTAACCCAAGAATTACCCTAACCCGTTTTAATCCGTGAAAACCCGAATTAAACCCGACTTATTGTTCACCCGTCCCGAATGTAACCTGACCTGTTATTAACCCGACCCAAACCCGACAAAAAGTATGACCCGACGTGACCCGATAAAGCAAGACCCAACCCAAACCCGACCCACATAGGTTATGGAATTAATCCAAATTGACCCAACCCGAATTGATCCGACCTACTCTTACCGACCCAAACCCGACTCTTTTACCCGAATTGACAACTCTACCCAAAACCTCCAAAATTTCTCAAAAAGCGCTGATATTAGTCTTCAATTTTGGAATTTTTCGACTTTTTTTCATCCGAATATAAAAATTGCCGAAATGTTTACCATGGTCCCTAATATCCTTCGGAGTCCAATAAGTTGAGTGGAACCAACCAATTTGCCTTTATACGACCAATTTACCGGTTTACAACTTGCACCGATTTCATTAATTTAAGCCTACCACGAACATTTATGACAACATATAATGATCATATATGGTTCCAAACGACATTATATGACCCCAAGATGTATCCCCTAAAATCTCAATACTTTTCGACACCGGGCCTCGAAACATTCGAAATTTCTCAAAAAGCGTGGATATTAGCCTTCAATTTTGGAATTTTTTTACTTTTTTTCGCTCTGATATAAAAATTGTCGAAGTTTTTACCATGGTTCCTAATATCCTCCGGGAGTCCAATTGGGTGAATGAAACCATCCAATTTGCCTTTAAATGACCAATTTCACAAGTTACAACTTGCACCGATTTCACTTTAAGCCTAGCACGAACATTTATAACAACAAATAATAATCATATATGGTTCCAAATGACATTATATGACCTTGAGATGTATTTCCAAAAATTTCAAGACTTTTCGACACCGGACCCCGAACATTCCAAAAATTCTCAAAAAGCGTAGATATAGCCTTCAATTTATGAATTTTTTTGACTTTTTCTGGCACGGAAATAAAAATTGATGAAATGTTTACTATGGTCTCAAATACCCTCCGGGAGTCCAATTGGGTGGGAGGAACCATCCAATTTTGCCTTTAAACGACCAATTTACTGATTTACAACTTCCACCGATTCATAAAACTCAATTCTAACTACCACAAACATTTATGATAATATATAGTGATCATATATGGTTCCAAACGACATCATATGACCACGAGATATATCCCCTATAATCTAAAGGCTTTTCGACACCGGGCCTCGAAACCTCCAAAATTTCTCAAAAAGCGTGGATATTAGCCTTCAATTTTGGATTTTTTTGACTTTTTTTTCGCCTGGAAATAAAAATTGCTGAAATGTTTAACATGGTTCCTAATACCATCCTGGAGTCCAATTGGGTGGGTGGAACCATCCTATTTGCCTTTAAATGGCCAATTTACCGGTTTAAAACTTGCAACGATTTAATTAACTCAAGCCTACTACGAACATTTATGACAACATATAATGGTCATACATGGTTCCAAATAGATTATGTTACCCCAAGATGTATCCCCTATAATCTAAATGCTTTTCGACACCAGGCCCCGAAACCTCCAAAATTTCTCAAAAAGCGTGGATATTAGCCTTCAATTTTGGAATTTTTTGACTTTTTTTCGCCCGAAAATAAAAATTGCCGAAATGTTTACCATGTTCCCTAATACCATCCGGGAATCCAATTGGGTGGGTGGAACCATCCTATTTACCTTTTAACGGCCAATTTACCGGTTTACAACTTGCAACGATTTAATTAACTCAAGCCTAAGCTACTACGAACATTTATGACAACGTATAATTGTCATGTATGGTTCCAAACGGCATTATATGACCCCGAGATGTATCCCCTATAATCTAAATGGTTTTCGACACCGGGTCCCGAAACCTCCAAAATTTCTCAAAAAACGTGGATATTAAGCCTTCAATTTTGGAATTTTTTTACTTTTTTTCGCTCGGAAATAAAAATTGCTGAAATGTTTACCATGGTACCTAATACTATCCGGAAGTCCAATTGGGTGGGTGGAACCATTCTATTTGCCTTTAAACGGTCAATTTACCGGTTTACAACTTGCAACGAATTAATTAACTCAAGCCTACTACGAATACTTTTGACAACATATAATGGTCATATATGGTCCAAACGACATTATATGACCCCGATATGTATCCCATAAAATCATAAAACTTTTCGACACCAGGTCTCGAACATCCTAAATTTCTCAAAAAGCGTGGATTTCAATTTTGGATTTTTTGACTTTTTTTCGCACAGAATTAAAAATTTCCGAAATGTTTACCATGGCCCCAAATGCCCCTCGGTAGTCCAATTGGGTGGGTGGAACCATCCAATTTTTCTTTAAACGACCAATTTACCGGTTTACGACTTGCACCGATTTCATTAACTCAAGCCTATTACGAACATTTATGACAACTAATAATGATTATATATGGGTCCAAACGACATTATATGACCACGAGATGTATTCCCTAGAATTTTAAGACTTTTAGACACCGGGCCCTGAATACTCCAAAATTTCTCAAAAAGTGTGGATATTAGCCTTCAATTTGGAATTTTTTCGACTTTTTTTTACTAGGAAATAAAAATTGTCGAAATGTTTACCATGGTCCTTAATACCCTACGAGAGTCTAATTGGGTGTGTGGAACCATCCAATTTGCTATTAAACGGCCAATTACCGGTTTACAACTTGCACTGATTTACTGATTTACAACAGCCAATTTAATTAACTTGCACCGAACCCGACTTGAACCAAAATTGACCCTAACCCGTTTTAAACCGTCAAAACCCGAATTTTACCCGACTTGTTACTTACCTGACCTGAATTCAGCCCGACTTGTTCCTAACCCGACCCGAATTTAAACCAACCTGTTACAAATCCGACTCGAAATCAACCCGACTTGTTATTGACCTGACCCGATTTCAACCCGACTTGTAATTGACCCGGCCCGAATTTTACCAGACCTATTACTTAACCGACCCAAAAATTCAACCCGATCTGTTACTAACCTGTCTCGAAATTAACACGACTTTTTATTTACCCGA